CAGCCTGGTTTTACAAGAGCTAGTTCTGGGACAGGCACCAAAGCTACAGAGAAACCCTGTCTCGAAAAAAAACAAAAAAAATTATAAATTCTAGGGAGGTGACAAGAATGTTTTCTCACTCAAACATACCACACTATCATTATCTTAAAAAATGAACTGGACTTGGTGGCAAGTGCCTTTAATACCAGCACGAAGGAGGCAGAGACAGGCATGTAAGTGGGGTGAAGAGACAGCTCAGAAGTTAAGAGGACCAGAGTTCAATTCTTAAATTTCTAGCAGGAGGCCTCAACAATCACTTATAACTTCAGGAAACCCAACACTTTTTTCTGGCCTCCAATGGCACCTGCACATTCGAACACACAACCACACACAAACACATAATTAAAAGTAAATCCAAGCAGTGGTGGTGCACGCCTTTAATGCCAGTACTCAGAGGCCAGCCTGGTCGACAGAACTTAGTTCTAGGATAGCCAAGACTACTCAAAGAAACCCTGTCTGCAGCATGATTAATTTAAAAGAGAGAGAGAGAGTGCTAATAGGGTTCACCCTGAAGATTAGAAAAGCAAAACAGAGCCAGGTGGTGGTGGCACACGCCTTTAATCCCAGCATTTGGAGGCAGAGGCAGGCATATTTCTGTGAGTTCAAGGCTAGCCTGGCCTACAAGAGCTAGTTCCAAGGCAGGCTCTAAAACTACAGCAAAACCCTGTCTCCAAAACCATTAAAAAAAAAAAAAGCTAAACAGCCAGCCACTGGCATTCATCTCTACCTCAGTCTGAAAATGGCAATCCTGCCTCCAGGAATCTCAGAATGAGATTGTGTGTGAGAGCTGTCTCCTCCCATTTTAAATTCCTCTCTGGAGCTGGGATTAAAGACAGGACTATACATATACCTGAACTCACAGAGATGATTGCCTCTGCCTTCTGAATGCTTGGACTAAAGTCATGTGGCACCTGGATAATTTTTTTAAATGCTTACAAAAAAGAAAACATAGGGAGATAGGTCAATGGTTAAGGATGCTTGTTGGTCTTTCAGAGAACTGAGTTTGGTTCCCATGACCCATGTCAGGTGGCACACAAGAGCTTATTAACTCCAGCCAGGGGATCCCACACCCTCGTCTAGCCTCCATGAGTTATCTGCACACATGTGCAGGCAAGTACACAAATACATCGCCAAATGAATCTTTTTGTAGGCCGGACAGTGGGGGGGGGGGCGCACGCCTTTAATCCCAGCACTCAGGAGGCAGAGGCAAGGCGGATCTCTGTGAGTTCAAGACCAGCCTGGTCTACAAGAGCTAGTTCCAGGACAGGCCAAAACCACAGAGAAACCCTGCCTCGGGGGAAAAAAAAAAAAAAAACACCAAAATTTTGTCGGGCAGTGGTGGCGCACACCTCTAATCCCAATACTAGGGAGGCAGAGGCAGGCGGATCTCTGTGAGTTCAAGGCCAGCCTGATCTACAAGAGCTAGTTCCAGGACAGGCTCCAAAAGCTGCAGAAAAACCCTGTCTCGAAAAAAAAAATTGTAAAAACAAAAAAGCAGCCAGCTGCGTGGTTGGTAGCACAGGTCTTTGATCCCAGTACTTGGGAGGCTGAGACAGGTGGATCTCTGTGAGTTCAAGGCCAGCCTGGTCTACAAAGCAAGTTCCAGGGACAGGCTGCAAAGCTACAGAGAAACCCTTGTCTCAAAAGAAACAAAAAAAGAATAAAAGCAACTTTATTTAGAATAATGTAACAAGAGCAGTAGGCAATGTACTAAAAGAAGTACCTATCTCTTTCAATCATCCAGATTTAATTTACATCTTTTAGTCCTGCACCTTGCTGAAAAGAAAACTCAGATCAGTGTCCTATCAGCTCATAGTTGACATTTTTGCTGATGAAACCCCTCAGCTATCTTTTAACATGTCTATCTGCTCCATACATATCCTAGAAACTTTTTTTGGTTAGTTGGTTCGTTTCTTGTTTTTGTTTTATAGAGACAGGGTCTCACTATGTGACTCTGGTTGTCCTGGAACTCACTATGTAGACTAGGGTAGATTCGAACTCATAGAAATCTGCCTGCCTCTGCAGGATTAAAGGCATGTGCCACTAAGACCAGCTCAACTTTTTTTTTTTTTTAATATGTATGGGTGTTTTGTCTGCATGTATCTCTTCTACTTACATGTGTGCTTGGTACCCTCAGAAGACAGAGAGGGCTTCAGATCCCCTGAAACTGGAGTTACAAGAGGTCATATACTACCATGTGGGTGTTGATAATCGAACCTGGACCCTCTGGAACAACAGCTAATGCTCTTAAACCCCTTAGCTATTAAGTTAGCTTCTCAAAGACTATAGTTCCAAGGGCAGGTTCCAAAGCTACAGAGAAATCCTGTCTCGAAACACCCCCCCCAAAAAAAAACCAACCCTGTTTCAGCTCACAGCACCCACATGGTGGATCACAATCTGTAACTCCAGCTCTAGTGCCTCTGCAGTGCACACACACATGGTGACAGACATACTTCCACTCACACACATAAAAGTAAATGAGTCTTTAAAGAGTTAAACTGAAAGCCTTACTTAGCTATTGGGCCCTTTTTAAAAAAAAAATAAATAAATAAAGATAGCCAGGTAGTGGTGGCACACATCTTTAATCCCAGCACTTGGGAAGCAGAGATAGGTAGATCTCTGTGAGTTGGAGGCCAGCTTGGTCTACAGAGCGAGTTCTAGGACAGGCTCCAAAGCTACATGGAGAAACCCTGTCTCGGAAAAAAAGAGAAAGTCAAGTGTATGAATAAGTGAATAGATACTTCCTTGCCTTCTGGTATGACAAGTTATTCCAGACAATGCTGCAGTGTGTCCTATTCTAGACTTGGAAACAGCTTTTTCAGCAGGATACTCTGAACCCTCCAGTATTCTCCCTCATGTGGCAAACATCCCTCTATAAGCCGTACTATCGCTTCACTCTGAGGAAAAACAGAGTCATTTTAAAGCCAGATGTGGTAGTTCACTTGTGCACTCAGGAGGCTTAAGGACTGCCACTAGGTTGAAGGCCAACCTGAGACACAAAGTAAATTCCAAGCCATTCTATACAGAGTGAAACCCACTCTCAAAAGAAAAAAAATTATAATAAATAAAAAAGCATTTTCAATATAAATCTCAAAAACCTGTCATATTATATGCCACCTGCAAATGCTGCAATACTATCAAGGAAACAATATTACACAGCTGCTTAAGCAAATGCCTACTGTTTTATTCTAGTAAGAACATTCTGTACACATAAACATTTTATAAATATCAATTATTAATGACTAACCTTTTCAAAGTGATGAATTGCTAGCCAAATCTCCCCTTGTGCATTGAAAACACAGCCGAGATTACTCCAAGCTACTGCAAAGTTTGGTTGCGTCTCAATTGCTTTCAAATAACATGCCTTAGGAGGGTTTAATGAAAGAAGACGAGAAGGGAAGGAGATAAGGGGAAAGGGGGAAATTTGTAAAGGGGAAAAAAAAAGATTGGGGAGGGGGAAGAAGGTGATATCATTATTTCTTCCCTGACCAGCCAAAAGTGACCCTGCAGCATAGGCTCGCTTGCGCCAAAACTAATGCGCTGCCACAGCTGGCTGCTCCTGCGCCTGCGCCACCAGAACCCAAGTGCAAACCACCATGTTCAGTTCTGCCAACCAAAGAGTAATCCTCATAATAGGACTCATCTGGGAGGTTGGGTGCTGCTAAACACTAACGCTATACTCCTCTTATCTGAACACCTATGGGCTCTAGAGACTGATGATACTTGACAGGGCACCATGAAATCTAGGCTTCCCCAACCCACATTTCCCAAAATGTGTTCTGTGAAATGCTAAGACATATCACAGAAAAAAGCAACACCAAAAAAGGCACCCAATTTTATAATCAAATAACAGGAAAATAGAAAACAGGTTTCTTAAACTGGATATGGGGGGCACAGGCCTGTAATCTGAGCACTCGGAAGATGGAGGCAGGAGATCATAAACTTGAGATCATCCTCAGCTACAAAGTGAGTTGGAGGGTGGGGGAGGAGACAAAGCAAACAACAAAAAGTTTCCTAGATAACTTCCCAAAGCCTTCAACCTCTAATCAAGCATTAGGAAACCAAAAGAGTTGACGGAAATGCTTCTCACAACATAATGTTCTCCTTCCTTAAGATTAAAATTAAGCTACTGAGCCATACAAAAATGTTTCTGCCAAGTCAGTCATCATTCAGACTTCAAGTTTCAGAATCTGCAGACTCACAGCACATGCCTCTCTTCTGAGGAGGAAGAAAATAAAACCTCACATGACAGGAATGCACCTAGGTTGAGGTCCCTGTAATGCAAGCGCAAACATCGCTGGCGCCACCTAACAGCATCGCACTGCGCAAACGCTGCGAACTGCTGCGCTCCATGGAACACCCCTAGACGCAGCAAACGGCCAACCAGATCCATTAATCTACTAGACAGGCCCGTAGAGAATATTTGCTTAATGAGATTAGTTGGACTCGAGGTATGTTAAAACCCAATTTTATCCAAAAAGGCTACAGAATAGGACTGAGAGAGCCAGTCAATCAGATTACTCATCTAGTCAACCGTTCACAGGGGCTCATTCGCACGCAATGCGCATTAACGCTGCGCAGCCTTTGCGCTACTGCAGGGTCACAGCGCATCATCAGAAGAGCAGAATGCTGCAATCCAAACAAAGAAGAAAAAGGAAAAAAAATGAACAACAAGAAGAGTTAGAAGCTTTTACTAGTAAATTATCTAATAATTTTATTATCTTAATTAAGTTTTACTTATTTTTGACAGAATTGTGGCTATAGTATAAAACATTCTTTTACATAACTTGTAAATAAAATTATTTTAAGCTGTTTCTGAAGCCACAAGACAGAAGATTCAGGCATGGAGGCAAATTGTTTTGCTGTGGCAGTTACAAACCCGTTACCATATTTCTCATCATGTGACTTTTCGGTGCGTTCCTTGCTGGAAGAGGAGGAGGAGGAGGTTGTGTGTCTGCCCTAGATCCAGGCCTCGAGCTCCCTTCAGCGAGGCACCTTACGCATGGAATAGGAGGTTTCACCCACCTGAAACCTTCTAAATACAATATCAATGGTGAAAAACCAAAAACAAGAGAGAAAATAAAAACAAGATCATTAGTAAAAGTTCAACAAAGCAATTGAAATTCTTTGGATGTCTATTACATATGGGAATGAGGACAGTCTCAAGTCTGTAACATGGGAAACATGCAGAAGGGAGAGGGTTAATCAGGGCTATTGCATACAGCAGGGATTTTTGCTGGAAGAAAGGCTCTTCATTTTCTACAAAGACAACTTAATTTTGCTGCCATCTACTAGGAATGTATGCTGGCTTGAATTTTCAAATGCACTGATTACAAAAGAAACACATTGCATTTCACTCAAGAGTATTTTCTGGTTTACTAAGTTCTCACAAAAAAAAAAAACAAAAAACAAAAACAAAAATAAAAACCAAAAAAAAAAAAAAACCAGAATGACATTTTTCAAACTAGGTGTCTCCAGAGCTCTGAAATAAAGAAGTCAGCAACCTAAGGCAGGCGCAACGTCTCAGCCTAAATCGATGTCTAAAGCTGCAGTGAAGTGCAATTCATGTTAGCTGTCCGCTTGGTGGAGTGACAATTGATAGGAGCATATCAGATATTTGTTCTAGAAATTACCAATTGCTTTATCAGCTAAGATTGAAATCAACATAGTTAATCAGCTGGAAACCTACATAAGGTTAATCCATAGTGTTGGTAGAATTTTTGCACTTAAAACTAGTGCTTTTAACATTAAGTGGTGCTGCAAAGCCTTCTCCCTCCCTGGATGAACAAACAGACAGCTACGCTGCGCATACACTCCACGCATTAGCATGCGCGTGGGGCTCAGAGCAACAGGTGGGAGTTTCAGAAGCATTCTGGTTTCTCCCCACTCCTCACCCCTGCAGCGCGATTGCGTAAGGTGGCTTGTAACAAGACAACTGCATTTATAAATTTAATTGTAAATTATACCAAAAGCTTTAATTAACCCAACCTAGAGTTCAAATTCATTATTTGGAAACACAGAATGCTAAAAGCCACCTTTCCACTTTGGCAAGTTTTCTTTCGATCAGTCCATTTCCAAACAAACCAGCTTTGTCCTCATTTTTTTTTAAGGAGGTGGGTGGGGAGGGATAAAAGAAGGAAGTGAGGAAGAAAAAGAAGGTAGACAACTAGGATTGGGGAAAAAGGAGGAATTTGGGGAGGAAGTGGAGACAAGAGGAGCAGGAGTTCCAATTATTAATTTGCAATATTTTAACAGCCTTTCTTCCACTGTAAAAAGGGTGAGGAAGATGAAGGGAGGAAGGTTAAATAAGAATTTTAAATGCCAGTATTACAGGGTAACATTGGATGAAATTCTTCTCCACTTACAAGCCACAAAGGACTTAGAAGAGCAGCGTTTTCAATGGCACCTGCATTATATAGGCGTCTTGAGCCAAAAATCACTAGCAGGCAAGCCTCAGATTTGAAGGAATGTTATTGATTCCCACATAGGTCATGATGGAGCCCATTGTTATAAAGATGATCTAGCTCAGCAGAAGGCTCCACAATGCTCATGTTCTTGCTTTACCCCCAGATTTAGAACAGATATGCCAAAGCCTGGTCCTGCTCTAGTCTGAGGCAAGTCATGCTGACGTTTTCCTCAGTTTCATAGGACTATTTTATGAAGATAGCTTAATGAAGAGTTGAAGACTTGGCAAAAGGTACAGGTTTTCAAAACTAATGCTTAAGTATGTTCTAGCAAACACCTACCTTGGCTTCTTCCAAGCGACCCAGGGCTTTGAGCAGGTTCCCCAGGTCACTACGAACACAGTACAAATCCTATAAACCCAGAGATAGTAGTATTAATTATATTGTTTTCTCAAAAAAAAAAAAAACAAAATCCCAACATCACTTCTACACATCTAGCGCTGCCATTTTCTTGTCAGTTTAATGCAGCACTTAAACTTAAGCACAGGCTCCCAACTCCTCCTATTCTAATTCCCAGAAAATACAAAAGGAGCCCGAGGGGGACAAATCCAACCAGAACTTATAAGATATTTACATAATTTATTGCTCTTCCTAAGTCTGAATACTATCTTTGACTGCAAAAATATGTGTTTTGCTATCAGCTGCTGCTCCAGTTCTGGCTGGGAGATCTGTGACACTATTGTCTAACATTCTTTCAAATGCATTTGGCCTCATCAGTTTCAAACACAAGACTACAAGACCTTTCTAGAGCCTCTCTCCTCTCCAAATGTCACCCGTAGGAAAAAATGATTGAATATTTATTCAACTGTTTTATTCAAGGTTATGATGAATCATTCCTGTATCAAGGACCAGAAATTTTCCACAGCAGGAAAAACAGCACTGCACTTAGCAAGTGATTACATGTCAACAAACCTACCCTTTGGCTCTCAGGCTTATTTAGAAACCTTGATTTCATTTCATGCCTAGGCAGAAGGATTACCATCCAACCATAGCCTCAGTCCTGCACCTGCCACTACATTACTCATTAGTATTAAGTACCATCAGAGCTGAGTGGGCGAGTAATGAAAAGCGGCTGACTCTGCGTTTTATTAGCAGCTCAACTGTGCTGCTAGTCCGACTCACCAGTCCATTCAGCAGGAGGACATGCTCAACAGACAGTAAGAATCTATCAGTCGCCGGGCAGTGGTGGCGCACGCCTTTAATCCCAGCACTTGGGAGGCAGAGGCAGGCGGATCTTTGTGAGTTCGAGACCAGCCTGGTCTACAAGAGCTAGTTCCAGGACAGGCTCCAAAACCACAGAGAAACCCTGTCTCGAAAAAAAAAACTTAAAAAAAAAAATCTATCAGTCCTCTTTTCCATCTTCCTCTCGGAGAGGCAGCTTTGCTTCTGCCTCTCTCCCCACTTCTCTGCTTCTCCCCTTCTGTCTCTTTCTCCTCTTCTCTCTCTCTCTCTCTCTCTCCCTCTCTCCCTCCCTCTCCCTTTCTGTCCCCCCCCTTCACCCTTCCTCCTCCATAACCCCCTGAATAAACATTCAACCTCACCCTGCAAAAAAAAAAAAGAATCTATCAGTCAATAACAAGCAGAGATAATGGCAATATGAGTCACGTTTATCATCCCAAACTGTTATGTGGGTGAAAGAACCTTAAATTAAATCCTACAAAGTAAAATTTTATTAAATATTCCAAAGAATTACCATGTATATTGGTTTCCAGAATTAGTAGTTAGTTTTACTGATAAACTGACTCTGTATTGTTTACTGGCATTCACTGGATGAACTGAAAGGTCTGCCAATAAGGTAATGACTGGCTAAACTGGGACAATTCCACGATCTACTTGAGTTAGTGCTGTCCCTCAATCAGTGACTGATGCTTTGGAAAAGTATGGTTATCTTCTAGTGGCCTTAAGCACAGGCTGATAGTAATCCTCAAAGCCTCTCATGTAGCAGGCACAGTAACACACACCTGTAATCCTAGCACCTGGGAAACTGAGGCAGGAAGATGGTCCTAAATTCAGGTGCCCAACCCCACCCCAGTTATATCATAGGGAGTTCTAGACCAACCTTTACTACAGAATCAAGACTCTGATGATGAATGAATGAATGAATGAATGAATGAATGGATAAATAGTGCATGAATAAATAAAAAAGCAAAACAGAAAAACAATTCACAGGTACCAATAATCTTATTACCGACTAATCGCCTTCTGTAATTAGTCTAAGTACTTTGGAATACTATTTGTATTTTGAGAAATAATGAATTCTATAATCTTGCTATCTACTTTGTATAGGTTTCCTCCTCTGAACCTTAACAAGGTAGCCCTCTGTCTGATGGGCTATGTCTGAAAAACCTAATCTGCTTACCCAAGCTCCCTCTACCATTTTTTAGTGGGTGGTATGTATCTTTAGACCTTCACCAATTTCAATGGCTGTTCTAAGCCACAAATCAGAAACACAATAACTGACTAAAAGCTGCATTTTTAAAGATATGTTTTTATTATTTTTAATTTCAAATATGGGGTGTGCACATCAGTGCAGGTACCTTCAGAGCCTAGAGGCTTATTGCATTCTCCTGGAGCTGGAGTTACAGGTGGCTGTGAACTGCCTGACATTGGTACTGGAATTTGAAATTGGGTCCTCTGGAAGACCTGAGCCATCTCTCCTGCCCCACCTATATATTTTTACCCACCATTACATAATTTTACCAGCTAGTTTCCATGAACTCTTAGATGCATGACTATATTTAGTTATATCATCTAGATTCATCATTATCTTATAGACTGGCAATGTAGGTCAGTTGGTAGAAAAAAATTAGCCAGTATGTCAAAAGCCCTAGGTTTGATCTCCAGAAAATGATAATATAAATACCTTCAAGATTACAGTGAAATAATTAGTCCACTTTAGCAAAAGGCAAAACATATCCTATTAAGTGGACTAGTAGAGTGGCTGAAAGTAGAGCTCCACTTGCCCGGGATACAACAAGGCCTTGCGTACCTAGTACCACAAACACAAACGCAACAACTTTCAGCTGGCATGGTGGCACATGTCAAGTGGCATGGTGGCAAGTGCTCCCACTTGGGAGGTGGGAGCAAGATAATCAAGAATTCAAGGTCATTCTCAGCTACTCAGTCAGTTCAAGGTCAGCCTAGACTAAGTGAGACTCAGTCTCAAAAATGCCAAAATAGGGCTGGAGAAATGGTTAAGAGCTACTTAACCATTAACATGCTACTCTTCTAGAGGACTTGAGTTCAATTCCTAGTACTGTAAGCTGTCTATAACTTCAGCTCCAGGGGATCTGACACCTCCTCCGGGCCTCCATGTGCACAGATACAACAACACAGATACATAACAACAACATTTAAAACACCAAAATAATAAAATAAACAAAATCATGAGATCCAAATCTACACACACATGAATACACATAAGATTACTTAAATGTCGCCGGGCGATGGTGGCGCACGCCTTTAATCCCAGCACTCGGGAGGCAGAGGCAGGTGGATCTCTGTGAGTTCGAGACCAGCCTGGTCTACAAGAGCTAGTTCCAGGACAGGCTCCAAAGCCACAGAGAAACCCTGTCTTGAAAAACCAAAAAAAAAAAAATTACTTAAATGTCTACAAAGTATAAGAACACTACAATTCTACAAAAGTCCATTCAAAACCTTGTGTCAAATTCTGCTTCATGTCAAATCAAAATGGTATCTAAGAGAATTACTTTGTTTAAACCTTACTCCTCTGTTCATCCCTAATTAATACTTATGGAAACATTAACTTAATAATAGACCTAAAACCAAGAAAAATAAATTAGACATACACACTCAAAGGACAGATTTTAAGCTGGGCCTTCATAGATGAATAGAGACTTAATAAAGGAATAGGGCATCAAAAACAAGGAAAACACAGTACGATTAAAGGAACAAAAAGGTGTTCCTATGTAACCATCCCTCCTCTCCTAGTCTAACAACTGCTTCCTGACTTTCCTCTTAATGTTCCACCTCTGGACCCCCTTGACATCACTCTACATATGCACACATTGAGGAAAATCAGGCCAAGAAAAACCTACAGTGGTTCTCAACTGCCTCTCAAACTAACTTCAAACTCCACAGCCTCTATTCTTCTGAAATCTTCCAATTGACTCTGCCCTGCTCCACTCACTCCTCACTACTACTTGACTCACCACTTCAGTCTGGGAAGTCTACTTGCTGTTTACCTTCCTACAGAATGCTGAGGACCTAAGCACCCTCTCAAGAGAGTCTTCTGATTAATACTCTCCAACAATAATCACCCGAGGAGCTTACATCTTTTTCCTTTATGGATCAGGTCTGTCTCATGATAACCCCTCCAGAACACATTCCCCATCTCCTCACCCAGCACTGGACACAACAATAAGCACTTGAATATTTAAATGTGACCCTTGCCAGACAACCTTAACAAAAAGCAGAGTGGAGAGAAGTAGATAGAAACGGAAGGTTTTCTCATACTTCAGCTATCTGGGACTCTCAAAACAACAAAATCAACATGACAGTAACACATGATGGGATGTCAGCCACTCTCAGCACTGTGTTATCATCTACCATTCAAGCAGAAAACAACTTCTCAACAATTTCGCACTCAGGCTCACAGCTATCACACAAAGGAGTACTGTATGCATAATTTGTAAAGGGATTGCCAAGTATGGGTAATTCTAACAAGCAACATGAGAAAGAACACCAGAAGAAATAGCACCTTAAAATATGACAAGCTAAGCCGGGCGGTGGTGGCGCACGCCTTTAATCCCAGCACTCGGGAGGCAGAGGCAGGCGGATCTCTGTGAGTTCGAGACCAGCCTGGTCTACAAGAGCTAGTTCCAGGACAGGCTCCAAAACCACAGAGAAACCCTGTCTCGAAAAACCAAAAAAAAAAAAATGACAAGCTAAAGTTTCAGCAAATGTATTAAGCCATATAACATTACAGAAGGCAGCTCCAAATAGAAAAATATAAAGCAGCTCTATCTCAAAGCTCCTGGCAGGGCAGTGGTGATGCACGCCTTTTATCCCAGCACTCAGGAGGTAGAGGCAGGTGGATCTCTGAGTTTGAAGCCAGCCTGGTCTACAAGAGCGAGTTCCAGGACAGAGAAACCCTATCTTGAAAAACCAAAAGAAGAAAAAGAGAAAGTAGCACCTCCTCCTACAAAAAAGAGAGCCAGGTGGGAACACACCAATGTCATTAAGAAGTAAATTCATTGTTTTAGTGCTATCTTGCTTTGAAAGTACATGATGCTAAGTTTCCTGTTAATAGGTTAGACATTTAACAATACAAACTATGCACAGTATATATTTAGATAGTAGCACAGCTTTGTCTATCATTTTAATTTTCCTTTCACAATATAATGCTGTGATATACTGTCTGCAGAGGTAACGCCCTACTACACATACAAACAACTAAAAACCTGAGCCAGGGCTGGGGATCTAGCTTAGGTGAAGAGTGCTTATCTACCATGCACAATGTCTGGTTTCTATCTACAGTACTACATAAACTGGGCATAGTGGGACATCCTATAATATAATCTCAGCACTGGGAAAGTGGGGCAGGAAAATCAGAAGTTGAAGGTCATCCTCAGCTACTTAATGAGTTAGAGGCCAGCCTAGGCTACACAAGACCCAATGTCAAAATAAATTAACAAAATTAACCAAGATTACAAGTATGCTAGAGAGACAAACTAAATTTACAAGTCAGCAAGTAAAGGATAAACCTAGCCCTAATTACTGAAGGAAAAGAATGTACTATCCTGGCCCTTAGAAGAATCAAGTTCAAGCCTTGCAGGTAGACCTTTCAAGGTTAGCCGCCTAAAACTGTTAGTAACTAGATAGGACTGCAATAAAAATTACAAATGCACTCTAATTTCTTTTTTTCTTCTTTTTTTTTTTTGGTTTTTTAGACAGGGTTTCTCTGTGTAACAGCCCTAGCGTGGAACTCACTCTGCAGACCAGGCTGGCCTCGAATTTGAACTCACAAAGATCCACCTGCCTCTACCTCCTGAGTGCAGAGATTAAAGCCATGCACTACCACCGCCTGGCTTCACTTTAATTTCAAATATGCATTGAGTACCTCTGAAAGAATATGTAAGAAATTACTTTCATGGGGCTAGAGAGATGGCTCAGTGGTTAAGAGCAATGACTGCTCTTCCAGAGGACCCGGGTTCAATCCCCAGCACCCACATGGCAGGTCACAACTATCTAAAGATCCAGTTGCAGGGGATCTGACACCTTCACACCAATGCACATAAAATAAAAGTTAAATAAACCCTAAGAAATTACTTTCATTATCTGCAAGCCTATGTAATTTCTCGCTAGATTAAAAATAGAATGAATAAAAATCATTTATTATAATGAACTCACAAATTAAAAGCAACATGTAGCTAAGCTAAGGTAGTCATTCCAATGAGCAACTGGCCCAGATCCAAACTCTATACATCGAAATGAACAGTTAAAACAGCCATTACATATAGTGGGTTTTTTAATCTTTTTTAAAAACTAAAAGAAAAATTTAAACTTTCAAAATTAACTTTAAAATTGTTTAAACCGGGGGCTGGAGAGATGGCTCAGCGGTTAAGAGCATTGCATGCTCTTCCAAAGGACCCGAGTTCGATTCCCAGCAACCACATGGTGGCTCACAACCATCTGTAATGAGGTCTGGTGTCCTCTTCTAGCAGGCATATATGCAAACAGAATATTGTATCCATAATAAATAAATAAATATAAAAAAAAAATTGTTTAAACCGGGTGGTGTTAGCACACGCCTTTAATCCGAGCACAGAGGCTATGGATCTCTGTGAGTTCAAGGCCAGCCTGGTCCACAGGAATTCCAGGACAGCCAGGACTGTTACATAGAAAAACCCTGTCTCTGGGGGGAAAAAACTGTTTAAAAGATATTATGATGGAAAATAGTTAGAAAGCTTTGGCAAACTACTAAAATAAGCTTCAATTTGCTTATTTTATAAAACTGGAGTTAAGAGCCAGGCAGATAATGCAAAATGATTTCCAGGCTGTGCACAAGGGCAGCCTTTGGCCACAGAAGGTCCTTTTCAGATTTCATTTCTTGTTCATGTCAACATTTGCTTCAATAATTCAACTTTAAGCCGGGCGGTGGTGGCACACGTCTTGAATCCCAGCACTTAGGAGGCAGAGGCAGGCGGATCTCTGTGAGTTCGAGGCCAGCCTGGTCTACAAGAGCTAGTTCCAGGACAGGCTCCAAAGCTACAGAGAAACCCTGTCTCGAAAAAAAAAAAAAATTCAACTTTAAGTTTCAACATCCAGTTCGCCATTGCTAGCTACGTGATCTCAAGAAAATTACATAACCCTGAGTCTGTTGGGGTTTTTATATTGGTAAAACTGGAAACACTGTCCTCTTCGTGAAAAGGATCATGGTAAAGATTCAGAAAGACTTATCTGAAGCAGCAGTGTCTGAGCCTATAGAAGACTTTCGATAATGGCAACAGTAGGAGTTAATCATTAAGCGCTTCCCCAGGGTGGTTGCAAAGTCAATGTTGATGGAGCTCAAGTATATGCTGATGCTGCCAAGACCCACCCCATCCCTAACACTTATCTCTTAAAAGTTTATAGCCACTTTCCCTTAATTACATTAACAGTTTCCAGGGCATGTGTTACATCCCTGTATTTTACTTAAAATTTTTTTGTTCTGCATTTTGAAAGTTCCCAGACTGTAATACAGTATAAACTTAATGTCTGTCAACCAGGATACACTTGCTCCCTGAAAACATATGCAACTCAAATCAACAAAGAATTAAAGAACTAATGCAAAGTCTAGTCTGAACATGCAATTGCCTTAATTCTACTACTTCTAACTTGATCGAGGGAGGGGCTATATTGAGATCATTCTGTACTCTAGTTTTCATGTCACTAATATACTAGCAACAACTTTTAAAAACCATTTTATACTACAAATTAAGATCTTTAACCCATCATTCCTTGAAAATCAAGAATTGTTATAAATACCCATCAGAATTTTCCCAAAGTTCACTAAAATAGCACAAAAAAAAACATGTGTCTTGTGCTTTATTAGTATTACCAAAAGAATTGATGGGAGTTTTTTGGTAAGGATAATTTTATGCTATTTAAATAACTTTTTAAATAGGGCAGACCTTTATGCAGACCAAGTAAAACCAATTTCATCATTTCAAGTGCATAAACATATTAAACATCTCAACTATTGATTTTCTTTCATAAAAAAAACCTATTGTCTAAAGTATCAAACGATGTTTGCTTGTTTGCTGGATTGCTGTAAAAGGAAAACAACTGATAAACTTTTACTTACAGGATTGTACTGAAGAGCAGAGACGTAAGCTTGTACTGCTCCTTCCATGTCACCTGCTGCTACCAATGCTGCTGCCAGGTTAATATAACCATCAATGAAATCAGGCTTGAGCCGCAAGGCATGTCGATAATGCTCAATTGCTTCCTGCAACTGCCCTCTTTCCTTGTACACATTCCCCAAATTCGAATAGGCTTCTGCTAGGAGGGGATTCTGTTTAATTGCCAAGGTGCTAAAGTGAGCAGATCTGGAAAAGTAGAAAGCGTTGACACATGAGGATATGCACGTTAGAAAAAAAGGAGGCATGGCTCATATGCAACCGTTAACAGTTCCTGAAACCCTGTGCTATGGAACATTAGCTTTTAACCAGCAAAGTTTGAAAACTAAAACTTTGCTAAGATGAGAATATCCAGATTTCAAAAAGGAAAGTTGGTTCTTATATAAGAAAATTCTTATTAGACTCTTATTACCAAACTGCCACATTGTATAATGTGATCATTAAGATCAAGAATAAAATCTATGTACATGAATCTCATTTTCCATTTGTTGTTAATATGACACACATCTTCAATGCCTAAGTGTGCCAAAATGACAATTTACTAAAAGATCTAAAGCACAAATTCTTCTTTTCATTAATTCAACTGATTAGCTAAAAGCAACAATTTAGTGAGGGTATTTCTAACTTGAACTACATATGCCCCTCCTTACCAGTATATCAAGCTGACAGGTCTAGATGCCCAAATTTATACCAAGACTAATTATCTGAAAAGAATTAATAAAGCAGCAGCCCCAAATAATGATAAAATCTAGAAGAAAAATCTAGCCATACTGATAATGTGCTCACCCCCACAAAACGGGGGAGAAAAACTAGGAGCTAGGCAAGTCAAAAGGGAGCAAAAGAGCACCTGTGTGTTGGTGGCTCAGATGAAACCCAGCAATGGAAAGCTCTGAAATGCAAATATTTAGTAATCACTTTTTAAGTTCAGCACCCAGAGGCAGGTTACCCCGACATCTCCTACCTGTCCAGCCTTCGACACTGGAAGTGTATAGATGAAAGTAATAAAAGGACACCAGTATTGTCAGGCTCTTGTCTCCAGAGCTGCATGCAGTGTCTCTCAGCTGCCTCAAAATCTCCTGCCTGATATTCTCGATGTGCCAACTCAGCTAACCCTTGGAAGGAAAGCATACGTTTCGTTGGTTCTGGAGAATCATCAAAACATTTGAGGGAGGGAGGGGGGAAAACAAAAAGTTAGAAATGCAAACCAAAAAAAAAATGTAAAACTATGGTAAATTAAACTTAAAGATGAAAATGCTTGAAACTATGTAAAGCACTAGAGTGTTCTGCATATTATTAAAGCCCCATCTACAGAATCCATCTCTTCAAATTCACCCATTCCTAAAGCTTCCTTTTCTAAACCACAGTAAGTTACAGCCAAATGAGGCCCTTAATTTTGTAGTTTTAAACTATAAATCATAGGCATAGTCACTAAACTAAGTTAACACAAAACATTAAACATGAAACCTGCAAAAGTTACAAAGATTTGTGAGAATAACCTAGTGCTAACAATACTTCATTAAACTACATTTCACACTGGGTTTGTAAGGGCTGGGGTATTCTTAACACTTTCTCAGTGGATGGGACACCAGGTGTCTCCAGAACTCTTTATATTTACGTTTTTGAGTTTTACAGCTTTATCTTTTTAGGAGCACCGATAAAAACAAGCCTAAGGAAAACAACTCAAAGTGCTGCTTTCACTTTTAAAGCAGCTGATATACAAGAGTATCTGTCCAGGGCTAAAGCATAGAACAGGTTCACCACACATTTTAACTAAACAAAGACCCAAAGGTTGCTCCTCTACTGAGGACCACTCTGGAGAAGACCAAATTAGCTAAACCCCACCTCCCACCCCACCCCACCCCACCCCCGCTGCCTTAGCGCTAACATTTTGTGCTCTTTTCCTTGCTCTCACGGAAGGACTGGGACATTGAAAACAACCCTGTACAATATCCAGGCAACCAACCATTTCAATAGTTTAAAAATGCTATAATATAAAATACTGAGTAAAATATAATAAATGACAAAATTATTTTGTTCTATGAAACTTGGTTTGGATACATAATGAAACGCTGAAGCCCAGGGACAGTTCTAGGGCTCAGCTGTAAGCAGTTCTCTTCTTCGTGACACAGTAGGAATTCAACCAGAACGAACACCCTACCCTCTAGTCTAGATGGTTAGAATGGGAAACCACAGACCGAGTACATCATCTTACCAAGGTCATGGGGACAGGCTCAAATTTAAGGCAGGCTCCCCATATCAGAGCTGACGAGTGCTCTGGATACTCTAGAAAGTAATTTCCTGACAGAAGGCAGCTGACCACAAAAACAAAGACCGGGAAGATTTGTGTCCAAATCCGAGGTCGGAGTTTTAAGATAAACTAGAAAATTAGATTTGAGACAAGAATGCTGCACTTGCTAGCTCCTAAATTTAGCACAGTATTTGTCGGCACTTTTCCAAGCCGCTTATCTGCTCTTTTAAAACTGGAAATGGCCATTTCCTCAAAAATAGTTAACAGTCAGAAAAGGGCAAGCTCTTACAAAAAATCTAACACGGAATCTTCAATCTTTGAAAACCACTGTGAGAAAATGGGAAGGCGGGGATCGGACTAATTATTAATCCTACTCCCGTCAATTATGGATGAGATATTACTGAAGATTCATCTATTTATTGCAGTGCCCAAAGCCAGCAACTAAAACCTTGACATACCGCAACTACGAAACAACAACAGTATATATACTCTCGGAAACCTTAGAACCGCAGCCCAGTTCCTCACTCCATCCCTCCCCAAATAGCCTCAATCTGGAAAGGCAGTTGAAGGACACTCCTACAATTTGGTTGTTTTCTTATTTTTCAGTAGCGAAGGCTCGGGAATGAATTGTCGGAAAAAAGGGGGGGGGGGGGGGCAACCTCTTTTCACTTGTGCAGCTACACTCCAGGTGCTTTACAAACTCTTCAAGCAAGGATGGAAACTTTAAAAAAAAAAAAAACAAAACACCCTATGAATAAAGAGATAACTGGGCCAAAGAATGGGGATGAAAACCCAGAGGTGGCGGCGGAAGAATACATTCAGAAAGTAACACAAAGAGAGAATTGGGCGGGCAGGGTGGTCAACGCCAAGCAAGGCACCGAGGTGGTTTCTTCTCCAAGGATAGGAAACGACCGTGGGGCTGGCACACTTGCGGAGGAAGGGTGTGGTTGCCACCAGCGGGGAGGGCCGACGGGGTGGGAAACTCGGGACGGGGGCAGCTGGTGCAACTGGGCGATGGCTAAGAGAACCCCTGGAATTTTCCAACCTAAACCGGGACCGCTCAACCCAAGAACACCAGAAGGCGCTGGCCCGCAGGCGTGCGGGCTCAAGGTCCCCTCTTCTTGAGGTTACTTGGAAGCCCGTCGATGAGCTTTCGCTAGTCTTTGCCTACGCCTGATGCAAAGTGAGGTTAGAATTACATCAAAATAGCACCACGCCCCGACTAGCAGAGGGCGACTAAAAGTGGCCAAGGGAAAAAGGCTGGCGGGGGAAGAGGTGGGAGTGCGTGCGTGCACGAGGGGTTTACAACGAGCTGCAATTGAGGGAGAAAGGAGTTGCGATGGAGACAGAAAGAGTAGGGATTCCAATGCAGCCCATTCCAAGACAGTCTAGGCGCGCACGTGGACTGGAAGCGTCCCGAGAGAGAAGGCTAGAACACTGGTGGGAAAAAACAAGGAAAAAGCCCAAAAGCAAGCAAAATGCAAGCAAGCAACGAGGAAATGTTTACGGAACGGACGACAGCACCAAACCCGATCAGATGGCAGTAGAACTCAAGAGAGTTCAGCAGTGCCACTGATGGGGATGGTTAGTGGGAAGGGAGTGATGAGCAATACAAGACGGCGCCAGACCCCAAAGGGACGTCTGCCAAAGTAGAATGGGACACTGGTACCTGTGCTGTCGGCCACGTTGCCCACGGAAGACGCCATCTGGAGCTTCTTGAAATAGAGCAAGGGGGTAATTGACTTCTACTGCCGCCACTACTGGCAAAAATGTTTCTAGAGGTAGCAGGAAAAGGGCAGCAGCCGTATCAGTGTTTTGGAAGGCTTAAGGGGCGGCAGCAGATACTGGACTCGAATCTTAGCAACTCTTGCTAGACATCTACCTCTCACTGTCTTGAAATGGCGGCGACTGCTCCTCGACCGAAACAACACGGGCCGGAACTACTTTCCGCTATAATCAAGTGCCCCGCGGAGGTAGCGCGTAACAAGACTACCGACGAAATGACTGTAATCAAAATCACTTGCTCTTACGTAACCTTCCGCCCAAGGTCCATTGCGACAAACACGACTATAGAGAGCGCATGCGACAACCCTGTCAAGGCAACTCCGGGTTAAGGGCACCCTGTGGGACAAGAGGCTGCAAGTTTTTAAGAGTGAGGCGGAAAGGCAAAAAAATGCACGTCGATTACATTTTTTCTTTTGCAAGCGCTAAACTAGGAGTCTAGTGTACCTGGTCATTGATGGCAGGAATGCCAGAGACGTCTAGAAAAGTTTAATCAACTCCATTCGTAAGAAAATGGGTAGTTTACGTGGCCAGTTTGTCAGTTCTAGACAAATAAACAAATAAATGCGAAAAATTGTATTTCCGAGTCGGAACTGTTGAAAACGATGGGGGAGCCGGTTCCGATTTGAATGCTTCTTGATTCGGACTCCACCCATGAATTTAAGTACTTTGATGAGAAGGAATGATACTTTCCCTGGACTGAGTGAATCCAAAGGTGTCCGATATGAACCATATAGCCCGAAAATTCAAAATCGTTGTGGTATTCGGGAGAGTAATAGTCTACAGTAACAGGGTAAATGCTCACTTACTCAGGGACCTGCTGCGAGTTTGCATGCCAAAAGCAACCATAGAGATGTTAAAGATGATTCGTTTTCGTCAAAATTCCTGATTCTGAGTTGTGACTTTGTTTAGCCAAACAGCTCTGCCAATCATTACGGTCCGCGAATACCTTTGAGTTTAAGGCAATTCAACAATGCTAAATGCGTTCATTTGCCGTCTGCCTAAACTACACATCTACATTGACTCGCGAATTGCCTTCCTTTGACAAAAGAGCTCTTAGGAGCCTCCTGCGGTTCCAAGTGCCGCATACGGACATTTTGTCATATTGTTATTAATTTATGTTTCGTGCCTTGTTCCTAGAAAATTTTAAGATAACTTGTCACATCAGCAAGCAATTATTACAAGCCATTAGCGGCTATAGATAGATCTTTTAGTCTTTAAAAAAAAAAAAACTCTGATCTAAAAAAAAAGCAGTGAGCTTGTGTAAAAATGTTTGCTGGCTAGTCCCTTGGCGACTTAAATTAATAAATAAATAAATAAATAAATCCTCAAATGCTGCTTCAATTTCTTGAAATCACTGACCAAACTGTGAACTTTGGATATGAGTGCACAGAAAGTTGATAATATTATTAATTTCTTTCGTCCCAAAGAATCATAGCATGTAATGCTAAAGTTCACCACACAAACTCTCCTGGGCACCGGCCTTATCTTTTCATTTGATTTACCTGGCAAGCCTCTCCCCCGGCAAGTGCGCCGCCTTCGGTGAAAGCGCTCAGCTTTTCTGCTTTAAGAACAGGCGGCTCAGAGGCATTCTAGCAGCAGATGTTTAGGCCTTCCTGATTAGTGCAAGTTAGTTCAGTAAGTAAAGCTCGCTAAATGCCCCAGTTGGACAGCTATTTGACTCATAGAAAGCTGGTCCCTGTTTCCCTCATCTGAGAGAGAGGTCTCAGGCTGTTATTAGACACTTTGCTGCTATGGGGAAAAAATGTTTTGTGCGGCTCATGTGGCTCAGCAAGGAAAACCCTTTCAAAGACTCTGCCCAGGAGCCGGCCCAGAATAGCGCCTGGGTGGCTTGGTTCCGAAAATTTAGCAGTCAAGCATACCTTCTCCAGCCAATAAAGTAACATTTACTAAAATCTCTATATTCGATGCACTGTTTGAAACAAAATGGAAAAGACAAAAATCTTTGCCCTCAAGGAACTTCAAGTCTGGTTAGCTAAACCCCAAAAGTCACTTAACAGTAATACTGAGGATTGTTTTAATGACGTACATTTGACTCTGCTGTCGGGAAAAGGGAACCTACACCTCAGACTAGAGGGCATTGCGGTGAAGGTGGTGTTTTTGTACTCTGACTTTCCCTTTTTTTTCTTTTCTTCCTTTTATATGCAGAAATTCTAAATTTGGAATCATTTTGTAAATATACCAGCTGCTTCAATTCTAATTCCAGGCACCGCCACACCAACACCAATGATGGTGAATTACTTTCCTAGCCCTTGTAACAGCCCCAGAAATCTACTGGCTTAAAATCCACTTTTTGCAGGAGGAGGGAGCCGAGAGAAGCACTGCCATTTGCAATCACTGGAAGAGTGTTCCAAAGGTTAATGAAGCTGAATAAAATACATTGATGAAACACCCCAGGCTCTCCGGATGTCTGGGGGATACTATTCTAGAGCCCCTTGAATTCTGCAACCAGTCACAGTGAAGAAAACTGGTCTTGAAACCTTCCAGAAAGAAAAAAAAAACTCCCAAAATCTTCTTTGTTGTTTTGTTCTGTTTGTTTTTCGAGACAGGGTTTCTCTGTAGCTATGAAGCCTGTCCTGGAACTAGCTCTTGTAGACCAGGCTGGCCTCGAACTCACAGAGATCTGCCTGCCTCTGCCTCCCAAGTGCTGGGATTAAAGGTGCGCCACCACCGTCCGGCTATTTTTGGTTTTTTTTTGTATTTTTAATGTATTATTGTTTTTTTAATGTATTATTGTTGTTGCATGTATGGTGTGTGAGGGCGTGTATGCCACAGTGTGCGGCAATGGTATTGAACTCAGGCCATCGGGCTTGCATCTTCACCATCTTCACCAGCTGAACCGTTTCCCTGGTCTCCCCTAGTTTTTTTAAACTGGAATAAAATTAAAGAAAAACAAACTGGTTTTATGGTAGTGTGGCCTTCATTAGTGAGTGAACTTGGGAAGGGAGGATTTCTGATTTGGTACCTGCTGTGTTGAAAACTGTGACCAGCTGGAAAAACAACAGGAATGGAGGGAAAACAGCACAACTGTTAACAATGAATGCCTAAGAGACACATTATGAAAGGCAACAATCTGCAAAACAAAAGCTGAAAGGCCTGGGAAGGCACCCTCCTGAGCCCCACCTAGGGAAGGAGTTTTCCTTGGGGCCAGGAGTCTTTAGAGTCTTGAGAGAAATAAGAACACCGGGGCTCAGAAGGCCAGTTAGGTTCACGTACTTCTTCAAGGATCACTTGGTTTCCTTCTTAACCTAAAAATTCTATGGAAATGCACATCAAAATGAAGGCAAAGCCGAGCCTGATCTTGGTCGTTCAGGCCTGGAATCCCAGCACTTGAGAAGGGCTCCGTGCAGGGCTATATGAATGTGTTCCAAGTTAGGCAGAACTACAGTGTGGAACGCCTTCTCAATGAAAAGCAACAACAACAAAAAAGAACAAAACAAAAGCCGTGGCGCACGCCTTTAATCCCAGCACTCGGGAGGCAGAGGCAGGTGGATCTCTGTGAGTTCGAGACCAGCCTGGTCTACAGAGCTAGTTCCAGGACAGGCTCCAAAGCCACAGGGAAACCCTGTCTCGAAAAACCAAAAAAAAAAAAAAAAAGAACAAAACAAAAATAAAGTGGGAGGCCAAAACCTTGGTTTATCCTTCCAAACCAAGTCTACCATGTAGTGTGGTCTGAAAAGAGGTTTGCAGTCTACAGCCTAAAACCATTTGCAAAGGGTGGGAGCGAGAAACTAAATAAATCAATCCACAGAAGAGCTCGGGATTTCAGAATAGAGACTTGCTTCTTCTCCTTTGACTATGTGCCTGTAGCACTATTTTCTGTGCTTGTTTTTCTGTGCTTGTAGATAAGAGGCTATTGTCTGCTCAGTTCTCTTCCTATTCTTCTCAAGTGGGAGCAAACTCTTCCCCAGAGAAGAGAATCGTGCTTTACTTATTGGCACCAACAAGACTCACTGCAGAGCCCTGGAATGAGTCACGCTGTCCCACTAGTTTGCCCATTGCTACCTCCAACGCAGAATAAAAAAAAAAAAACTCCCAAGGAGCTCTGAGGGCTCTCCAGCCCTGTCTGTGTCTGAGAGGACAAGCTGTCCTCTTCCTGTGACATTCGGTGCCTAGCAGTCATGTGGCACTGAGAAGCCCTCCAGAGGAGCCAAACAACACTTGTAGAGAACAAGGGTGGTAGTGGGGACAAATCAATCTAGAAGACAGAGGAGACAATAGCACAGGTGCTAGATGGTGCTTTTGTTGCTGTTCTTTCTGGGTGGCTCTGATGACCACTATTTTTTAAGCGTGAGCTTTTGTGTCCGTGCTAAGCACTTCACAGTAGAATTGAAGACTCAAATGGCGGATTTGGCTTTTATGAATAACCAGATGTCGAAGGACAATGGTTGGTCTAATTGAACATTCAACAAGGGGCTCTGGAAATAGAGCTTTTTGTTATTCAAGGTGTCCTTTGTCTGAAGATGCGATTTCCTCTGTTAGATTGACCAATCCAGTATCATCGGTCCTGTGCCATTCACATTCTGTCAGTACATCCTAATGGACATATTTCCAAGGCTGTCTTACCAAACAAAGTGGAGAATTTTTTGGCATTACTGAGAGATTATGAAAAGTGCACCTTGGGGGCTGGAGAGATGGCTCAGTGGTTAAGAGCATTGCCTGCTCTTCCAAAGGTCCTGAGGTCAATTCCCAGCAACCACATGGTGGCTCACAACCATCTGTAATGAGATCTGGTGCCCTCTTCTGGCCTGCAGGCATACACACAGATAGACTATTGTATACATAACAAATCAATAAATATTTAAAAAAAAAGAAAAGTGCACCTTGCCCTTTGTAATCAAGAAAAAGAGGTTAAAGCACAAGTTAACAGACTACTTTTTTTTTCTTTCTTTTTTTCTTGGTTTTTGAGACAGGGTTTCTCTGTGGCTTTGGAGCCTGTCCTGGAACTAGCCCTTGTAGACCAGGCTGGCCTCGAACTCACAGAGATCTGCCTGCCTCTGCCTCCTGACTGCTGGGATTAAAGGCGTGCATCACCACCGCCCAGCAAGTTAACAGACTTTCAGTGCTATAGAAATCTTTTGCTGAGCTCTGTGAGTTCGAGACTAGCCT